GTGGGGCGAGAGGTCCAACTAGAACTTTGAAGCTCAGGATCAAAAGATATATCTTAGCTAAGTTTATCTTGCAGGACTGTCTCCGTGAGTACCAGTGGAAGTTCCATACATCGGTATTCGTGACGGCTTTGATTTTCTTGGTATTTTCAAAAACTATCCCGGGAAACAAAAACACACAGGAGCTCTAGGAAAATCTACGTAATTGGATTATAACATTTCCAGGCATGAGAAAGTTCAAGAGAATTGTATCGATCTGGTTGGCTGTATTGCTGATCGTGGAAGTGAGTTTGTATCTGCCCGGGAGTGGATGCGTATATGCTTTGAATTGCTGGAATTATTGAAAGCACACAAGAAATCAATTCGTCGCGCGGCAATCAACACATTTGGATACATTGCAAAGGTTGGATTTGAGCGCAGGCTTCTTTAAAATCAGACAGCTCGGCGTCGTACTTCGGTCGGTGCACAACACTCGTTTTAAGGGCTGTGCTCCCCCATCCCTCATTGTATTGCGTGTGTGTGTGTGTGTGTCCCGTAGTTTGTTAGATGTTTTTATTTGTTCACATGTCCTACAACAGCATCATCATCAGCAACAACTGAACATTGGGTTTCGCGCCTCCGCATTCTTTCATTTAGGGGCCCATTAGCGATGCACCAGTCCATTGCTGTGGCGAGCGAAGTGCACCAAGGTGAGTGATGAGTTTCATTCTTTTTTGACCATTTTTTGATCATCTCTTCAACATGTTCTTACCACGGCGCTAGGAGCATCGGAAAGTTCATTCGCTTGTCGCGGAAATTACTTTTCTTGAAAGGGCACCATCACCTTACTGCACCTTCTAAAAGAAATTCGTTAACGGCCTTGCTCGCAGGTTGGTTGCTGCTGGCGTGTGCTACCATTTGGGCTGCTTTCGAATGCCTCTACCTCTCACAGGTGGGGAACTGGAAGGTCTTGATATTCGGTGGAAAAGGTGCTTTCGTTTAGTCGGATTTTGAATCACTTGACGGCACCTACTTGAGTCCCGTGAAGTTTATTCTTTTTGAATAGTTATG